TTTTAGCTCTCTTTTAATTATATATTGCAATCTACTCTGTAGTTTTCACCGCATGTGTGCAATATTTGGGCAAGTTGACCTTAATAAATGCTGATCAAGTAAACCTGTCCTATTGTTCTACATCGTGCGGCTGATGCTTGATGATCTCAACGTGCACCACGTGCCATCATTTTGCATTTCAGTTTCCAGAAATACTATTGAACAACCTTTAATATTTCAGACATCATGAAGAAAGCTCTGGAGTTCAAGAGATTTTGTAAACTAAAACTCAGTTACATATTAAACACAGTTAAACACGATTTAAATGTAGTATTATTTCAGTCTTCCAAATGTGAACATGCATGCTTTTAAATGCTGTTCCTTTTCCAAGAACTAAGCATGGTGTAACTTCTTAATCTACACTAGGACAGGACTAGCCACTTGACCAATTATTGCTAAACATGTGACCATAAGCTAAGCAAGCTGTTGGGTAGCACACCCCGGACACTGTAACTGCCTTTAACACAGTCTTAAAAAATACCATAGTCTGTCGCTGGAAGGGAGGAAAGGAGAGGAATGCCAGTGAAACTATTAACAGTGTTAGGGCAGATTCATGATTTTTAAAGGAATGTAAAAAGAGATTCACAAAAGTGACATTGATAGATTAAGCAGAAGGTGCTACAAAGTTTCTCTTAAGTTAAATGAAGGCCTTGCTACAGTCCTTAGGTTCTAATTCCTCTGGGTGTGGGATGATACATTCATATTCCTTTCTGAAAACTTCATCAAGGAAGTCATTGGTGGGAAAGGGGAAGACAAAAGGGTGTGGAAGGCTACATAAGGCTACATAATATATGTGGTTAGGAATACCATCTGGTAGAACCATGTCCTTTTGGGCCCTGATTCGGTGAGTATTCCATATGGTATCCTTGAAAATATCCAACTGCTTCTGCAGCAAGGGAATCAGGATAAATGCAAGCAGTATCCTAGGTCAAAAGATCAATAACATTACTAATGATTGCTCTGAATTCATTGATTCAGGCTTAACAATGACATAGTAACTATCAAAAAGGTAGGATCTATTTTAAGGCATGAGAGTGATAATTGCATATTCTCTTGAATTCTCTTAATTTCTTCATTGTCCCTACAGGTTGTGTTAAGGGGGCAACCTACCTTAATTTTGTCAAAAAATGCAAAATTAGGAAAAAACAAATTTAATCTGTAGATATTCTTTAAGCATTAAACAATCCAATTAATTGGTTTTTTGTCCTTTTTCGCACCTTATAAGGTTATTTTCAATAATTTAAAAATGTTGTTATTTCGTTTTCATGGCAACGAATGTTGTTTACACGCAAATAAACTGCTTTACAAAGCTGCCAATGCAAGATATTTCAAAGAAAACAAACGATTTCGCATTGAGGGGGTCTGGGGCACATTGTAGCCAGTTCACGTGGTCTTACAAGACACGTTGACCCACCAATTTTACGATTGATGCTGTGTTGGCACGTGTGACTTGCTCAAGTGTAATTCTCCTGAATTCTAGTTTGTTCTTGTGTTGTTTGGTTTTTGAAAATGTTCCAGAAGTTCCATTCAAAGGGGAGAAAGAAGAGAAAATTTGCTGGAAATCAGTTTACAGCTGAAGAAAGTCACTCTACTTCGACACAGTTGCTTGGCAAATCAAGTGAAACCAAAGATGGCGGCGAACAATTGTTGTCATTTCAGAGTGTGTCAGAAGAGAAAATTGAGAGTGGAAAGCGGTGTCATTCTTTTATCAAGGACGATGAATCAGAAAAAGAACTCTGTGATATTGAAGAAGAGTGTTCAGGGCGTCGGATCGTTGAAATTGAAAGCCTTGTTTCAGCAATCGAATAAGCTGCTGTTTGCAAAAGATGCAAGGAAGGATCACTACTTCTTTGCGAGGATGGCTGAATGGGATTGGCCAGTCAGATGACTTTCCAGTGCATAGGATGTGGCGAGGAAACCACATTTAGCACCGATAGTAAAACAGGACAGTTTTACCCAATCAATCAAAGTGCTGTATTTGCTGCAAAGTCTATTGGGCATGGGTATGCAGCATTATCAAGAATTTGCAACAATCTGGACCTCCCAGGCCCCATGGCAAAATGGACCTTTGAAAGGCACTCAAAACAATTAAGGGATGCAGCAGTTTCAGAGGCCAAAGAAAGCATGAGTGTTGCTGTGGAGGAGATCAGGCAGCTAAATGATTGTGAAGGGGATGAGCTGGCTGATATTGCCATTACCATTGATGGGACATGGATGAAGAGAGGACACAGCTCCCTTTATGCTGCTGTTTTTGCCCTTTCTTCGCAAACAGGCAAAGCCATTGATTCTATCACATGACTACCAGAGTGGGAGATCCCATGAGATAGCACAACGCATGCGCAAGGTCATTGCATAGCTTGCATCGCACAGCAAGGTCACAACGGATGATTATTGTTGGAATTTCGCTTGAAAATATTGCTTGGTCTTACGAAGTAAGGCTCAAATAAGCATACAGTGAGTCAACGTAGTTGACCCTATCCCAATCTAACTGTTCACGAGTTGTTACTACTCGCACTTC